CCTTTCACATGGAACTCCGATCCCCATTGCTCATAGTGGCAACGTAAGCGCAGTGAGCTGTAGGATAATCTGTCCGGGTCCATAGAATCGTTTCAGCTAACAGAATTTTCCTCTCTGTAATTAGAATTTATTGTTTTCAGGGCGGTGGAACAACAAGAGCTTCAGATCGCGGTCCGCCGCCAACATTCATTGAATCGTTGGTGGTAGCATGGGTTCTAGGTGAGATAGCTTCAGGAAATTCTGGTTTCCTTTTGACTCGTGTGATTCGATCATCATTTTCTCCTTTACCTTACTAGTATTCTCAGGAATTGATTGAGCTAAAAAATTTCTGTTTCAAGAATCACTTATGAACGAACCTTTTCATCCAGTACAGTTTTACATCCATTGCATACTATTTGTCCAGTTCAGATAGTGGATGCATGGCTTCATATAGTTAATAGTTTTGACCTTACTTATACGTGGGTGGTAACAAAAACATAGAAAATAAAGCAACCAAAAAAAGAAAAATAATGAAAATAAAATAATCTATCTTCAGGTATGTTATGGTCGGAAATCAAACAACTATGGGAAGAAGGTTTCACCAAATACGTTCATCAATGGTGGAATTGGTTGGATTTCATAATGATCTGTCTATATTTATGTACGATTTCCGTAAGGTATGCAGTCATTTCATAGTTAACCCATTTTCAACCCCAAAAACAAAAGGGAAAAATAGAAAAAAAATGTTTTTTGAAAGCTCAGGAAAACGAGTGGTTTTAGAGGAAGTAGATAATGTATCATTTTTTCTGAACATTATAGACCCAAAATAAGATCTACAATTTTTTGAATTGGAGAAAAATCAATCGATATTAACAGGTTGAGTGCCTATTGGATCTATAGCTATATGGATTATCCACATCGTTACTCGATTCGTACCTATTGGGAAGCATATGAGCCGATGTTAGTTGCGGAAGCGCTCTTCGCCGTGGGGAATGTTTTCAGGTAGTTTTTGTTCGCCTTGACGGAACTCTATTGATTTTGGAAGCCTCACATTTTTTTTATCATTTTTTATGATAATATTTCTATCGATCAAATTTAGCTTCGCTCGGATCATCTACTTGTTCCAGACTAATCCGTACCTCGGACCGTTACAGGTGAGGGCCAAGTTTGCTCTAAGAATTGTTCATACAATTGAAAAAAAATTCATGACTTACACTATTTCGCGTGTTCACCATCAATGTTTCGGTGAGTGTAATGTGCCTTTAAGTTCGAATGAAATACTATGTTATTATGGGCTCTTGATGTTTTTCTTGTGGTGGTTATACACATTCTTTCATTAATTATAAGATTCGAACGTTGATTCAAAGCTACGGACCAACAGTAATATGAGGAATGCGCGTTACTACGATTTTCCGTTTTGCCTATTGCTGGTCAGATACGCCAGGAGAACCCATATTCTGCGGGACGACACTCCAACCATTATTTCCATGTTTTCAAGCCTTCCAGCCCAAACTAGGTTTCACTACTCGAAACGTTGAAGCGTGTAAATGCTATAGACAAGCTAACCCTCGACATTGTGACAAGTACAACAATGATTCATGACAGTTTACTTACCTCTTTTGTGCCAGACGGCGAATTCATTGAGTGCCAGTTTTCCCCGTTTGAGTGCGAGTATCGATGAGATAGTTTCGCGGATCGTGCAAGACTATTTTCAACACCCATGAATCTCAAAAGGAATTCGGTACTGTGGCAGTATAAAACTAAAGGAGGGGACGGTGGTAAAGCTCCTTATCTATGGTAAGAAATGGCGAAAGAAAAACTACAAATTGCGAAAAGTTGTTCACTGCAGCCCTCCACAAAATTTATTCAATTCCGTGATCACGTTTCGAACTTTTTTCCTCAAAGACTGCAATGAACAGTAACCCCACCCTTTTTTTGATGAGTCTAGGAAATTCTCTTGAAGAAAAAAAAGATTGCGGGTGGCTATTGGTCAGTTGAGAGTACTTTGTAATTCAGTTTACAGCTTCACTACAATACTCCGGGGCCACCACGGCCTTTTTTACAGATCTCCCTGGGATGTATGCTGGTCGATGTCGCCAAGTTCTGCTTCATTTTCGTTCTGATTATCAGCAGTTTTAGCATCGGTTTAGCTCAACTTTACTGGGGTAAGTTTCACAATACTGTATAACATCGGTTGCTTTCGATTTTTTAAGCAAAGGTCACGATTTGAAGACCTCGCGAGATCATAAATTACCCGAATTTGAGAGGATGTTTTCTTACTTTATTAATATTATAACGTTTAGGTAGTTACGATCGGACACGCAGTTTGATGAACCGGCCGACTTTGCGTTGATCGAATGCGTGGTTGCATCGTGGAAGCTTCTCTTCGTGGTCTTGTCAACTGCATTTCGATGACAAACGCGGACAGTTGTTGAGAGGCGATGTCTCCGCTTTACATTTAAAATTTCGCAAGCGTAATGCAGTTGACCTGTGCTAGATGGCCTACGTTTAAACAATGCGGTGTGGCGAGCGTTTTTTCCATAGGCGGTATTTTTTCGGCGGGGAACATGTTCAGTAAGTGAAACAGCTGCAGTGCTTGGACTTAGCTTTATGGAGAGAGGGCAAGGAACTTTAGACGGGAGGATGTGAGGCTTTTTGTTCTCCTGGCGTTCACCCTTTCCGAGCTTTTAGTGTCCTATCGTCACCTTTGGCATGCGCAGGTTCTGGAATGGTTTGTACGGAATGCCTATTAGGCACGAGCGCCCATTCAAAACAATGCGCTATCAGATCTGTCCTCCCTCGTAGGAGCGATATAGAAGGCTATCACGGCACGGAGGAAGTCCGAGCTACTGATAGCTCCTCTAACATCTGCGCTACATATGCTCTATTACTTAAAACAATTAGTCATTCAGGACATAAATCAATACTAATAGAAAGTAAGAAACGACATAGCTACTTAGTATAAGCGTAATATTATCAATATAAATATTAATTAGAATATGACCTAATTTATTCATTGTTTAGCATCGCCGACTCGTACCTCACACTTCTGTGGTCATTGTTTTCAATCACCAAAGTGGAGGATACCGATGTTGCTGAGGTTGGCGCTGATTGATGCAACCTTTTATGCTCCTTACCGTAATCCACCTCATCTTCAGAACCATCACCTGACGCAATCAGTCGGTCGGGCAATGTTTATCATGTATCACTGCACTTCGATCATCGTACTGTTGAACATGCTCATCGCCATGATGAGCCACTCATTCCAAATCATCAACGTCAGTAATTCCAGTTATTATTTTTATTTAATTTCTAGCTAATTTATCATTATATTTAGCGTATTTTTTGTCATAGTTGGAAAACCTGCGAAAACTCTGGAAAGCTATAATACAACAGGCACACCTATAGAAGGCCACTATGAAAAATTTAGAAATTGGAAAATTACGTTAAATCCGCGAAGACCGCGTTCGTCAGAACTTCTTGGGAATGCGCCACGCATTCGACTTCCATTCACGATTATGAGACACATGAATACGGTCCGCACTTCCCTAATTATAGGCCAATCGATGTAGGTGTCAGGGGTGTTATTTATAGAGGACCATGCCTACTAAATAATCGACTCTTGAAGGAAGGGACTTATGGTTGGTTTGGGAGAAGCTCGATCAGGCTTTACCTCCGCAAATTGCACGCGGTAAGCGACGCCAACTGCCATTACACCGCCTCCTCAGGCTGTAATTGAGAAGCACTACTCTATAGAAATTAGGCCCTGCTTTCACAGCTAAAGGGTATGGCAAAATGTATTTGGTCAGTGGCAGACCAGTCTCAAATGATGGAAATCCGAGCTGGAACCAGGGTCAACCCTATGTTGCTACAAGTAGCAACGGGGGGGTCGTATTTTGATGAGTTTGTAGAGGGGGGTCGTACTTGCTTCGGTTGTAAGAAGTGGCATGTGATGAGTGGGGAGCGGCGCGGGAGAAAATTTGTATATACCCCCCCCCCGCTCGACGGTAATTTTTTGGGGTAAAAATTGTTTTGAAAGAGGGGGTCGTATGAAACTTTTCATGAAGGAGGGGGGTCGTAAAAACTTTTTGAAAAGTAGCAACGATAGGACCGACCCTGGCTGGAACAGAGGTGAGCGTTCACTCAAGCGCCAACATCCATTTGCCGCCCCGTGCAACCAGAACTATGTGATAGTCCGCAACAACTCTTGCGTTATCGCTAGATACGGGGGCATCTCCTGGGACTAAGGTGGTGAGAAGCGGGGGCAGGACTCCGGCAAAAATGGAAATTACTCACGTAAATCCTATCCTAGAATGCTCTACACCTCCGGAGAC